AAGTGCCACTACCAGTATAAGAATAAAATTGATAGACTCTATTTGACGCATAAATACGACACTAGAAACAAAAAAAATAATTCACCTAAGAAGAGAACGAGTAAATTGATTGGCCGATGGAATTACTCATACATCCTGAAAAGACTTCACGATAGAACACCTTCTTACTTAAAAAGTGAGAAAACCTACAAAAGTTTCGAGAGAACATCGATATCATTGACATGATTACCTTCGTTATCAAGGGAGGAAATAAAAAGTATAATGGATACAAATGTAATAAAATAGAGAAAAAATAATTAACATTAACGAAAAAATTATCGAATGGAATTAGTTTCTCAGCTCTTATAAAAGTATGATGTATTTCTAAGAGTTTACCTTTTTGTCTTTTCTTCGTCTTTGTTTTTGCCCTATTATAAGATTGATTATAATGGATATAGTATTATAAGTATTGTTCGGATTGTGATAAATTGTCATTATATATATATATATATATATATATATATATATATATATATATATATATATATATATATATAATTCGTTTAGTTTTCTTGTGCTTTGCTTAATAACATAAGTGTGAAGGTTTCTTGGGAATGAGCACAGTTTAAAATTGATGGAGTAATTATTTATTCGACATATGTTTTGGCTCTTGGCCTTTTTCAAGAATATTATAGGTTCATTTTTGGTTGGAAATTGACTTCAATTTCACAAAAGTTTTACGAAAGATTTGTGAAATTGAAGTCAATTTCCAACCAAAAATGAACCTATAATATTCTTGAAAAAGAAACATATGTCGAATAAATAATTACTCCATCAATTTTAAACTGTGCTCATTTCCAAGAAACCTTCAAACTTATATATATATATATATATATATATATATATATATATATATATACGTATGTTTGTGTGACTGCATGTTACTTGCTAAATATTCAACTGTAATTGATAATGAAAATAAATGATCAATAAAAATGTTTTTTCTGATAATTTGCATTAATACAAGTGAAAAAGTCTACGAAACTCTATGAACGTCAAAAATATAATGGTTTCAGAGCGCCATTTGTAATTTTGCTGTACAACATCAATGAATTTAAATACTCATATCATACTAGAAGAGAAGACATTTTTTTCATTACATAATATTCAGAAAGGATATCTACCTAGTAGAAAAGTTTGTAAAGAAAATTGATTGGTCATTCATAAACAAATAAAGTTACTTGAAAAATCGTTAGATTGAATAGTACAAAAAACAAATCATGTATAACTCTAACTCTAAACGACACACGAAAAACTTGAAGTGCAATACAAATTGAAAATATAAATTTGATTTCAGGTAAGTAGTACGCTAAAATATGATAATAAATTCTCACTTCGTTTATGTGATAATACGCGAAGTATAAACAATTTATTGTGAGGTCAGATGACGCCTCGAGCGCTAATGAAGAATTATAATTATTGAATCAATGAAAATGTATTTTGCGGAATTTGTTTTTTCGAATTTATAAAACATATAAGATATTGTTCATTCCACACATTCCTTTCTGAAATATCTTGTGAGATAAAGATTGCTACGAATAGAAATATTTATCATATTATTTCATTACAATAGGCAATCAAGAGCAGTAACCGATTGTCTTTGCGTCTGATGAGCTTTATAGATTTTCACTGATATCAGAAGTACTTTCGTATTTATTTTCAGATATTGTCATCTAAATCGAGCGGATTGTAGGATTGAGAACATTATAACACATTGATTCCTACTAATGATAAAAATGCGAAACTACTTAAGTCGTACTTGGATATCTTTCAATTTTGAAATAAATACTACTTGACTGAGAAAAGTTCTTGAAAACAATCAAATAGTATATAATTTTCACGTGAAAATATCATGAACCTGGGAAAAATATGTTGAGGAAATTATAGTATTTTGAAATGAAATTCAAAACACACTCAAATGATATACTGAAAAATAATGTAACTAATATTTTTAGATTTTTGCAAATAATTCAATATGTAAATGTTGTAGAAGTCAAATTATTATTTGAAGAATTTCATTTACAAATTCTGCCATCTAAAGTTGTTACTCTTTGATGTTTACATAAAACCTGTAGTTGAGTACAGCATAATTCACAGACGTTTTCAATAAAACGATTCTTGTTAGCTGGAAGCCTGCGCCACGTTGGAGGGTGACTTGACATTCAAATCCTCATATATATATTTGACATACTTACTAATAACTTCAAAAACAGGTAATTAAGCTTAAACTGAATCATTAAAATACAATCAAAAATGAACTTGTCGTATACGATAGTCCTAATTGACTTATATGGCAGTGTTCCTCAACTGCCGATCCGAAGTTTGGAACTGGTCCTCCAGAAACGCCGATAACCCAAAATATTTCGAAATATTTTGGGTTATCGGCGTTTCTAAGAAGAGTCTTAAAAACGTTTCTATTCCAAGATTCTTAAGTAGAAACTTAGTTTCTATTTACGAGTCTCAGTATTTACTAGTAACCCAAAATAATATGGCCGATAACCCAAAATATTTCGAAATATTTCGAAAATTTTGGGTTATCGGCGTTTCTAAGAAGAGTCTTAGAAACGTTTCTATTCCAAGTTTCTTAAGTAGAAACTTAGTTTCTATTTACGAGTCTCAGTATTTACTAGTAACCCAAAATAATATGGCCGATAACCCAAAATATTTCGAAATATTTTGGGTTATCGGCGTTTCTAAGAAGAGTCTTAGAAACGTTTCTATTCCAAGTTTCTTAAGTAGAAACTTAGTTTCTATTTACGAGTCTCAGTATTTACTAGTATTGAATGACCTGTGAATCTTGAAACTACCTATACTTCTGCCCGCCTGGGCGTGATCTGGAGCGATTAGGCATGTTATTATTCGTACACATTGCGGACAATTTTCTGTAGTGTTCAAATGAAATATCTTCAGAGCCTTGCACTCGCGCTACTGTTGTCATGAGTAGGAATCTTGAACACTAGAGAGTTTATACGTCTTTTCTCCGATAGAAGGAGCCAACGTGAATATTTCACTAGGAAACATTCCCCTCAACTTGGTATAGGACCTATGTTCGTTTTTAAAGTCATCGATTTTTTTTTGATAGATTAAAAATGGAGTGATGATTTGTAATAATGATGAAACAATTGTATACTATTATCATTCAACAAGATCGATGAATTTTTCGAAACGCTCTTAATATTCACTCGAAATCACGTGAAAGTGATGGGTTCGTTCTCGTTGACAACATTTGTGTAGCCAGCTACCTAAGAGTTTTATTTGAAATATTTCGATAAAGAGTCTCAGTATTTACTAGTATTGAATGACCTGTCAATCTTGAAACTATATATATATATATATATATATATATATATATATATATATATATATATATATATATATATATATATATATATATATATATATATATATATATATATATATATATATTTTCAGTGTTTAATTGGGATTGCAGTCTAGGACAGGAAAATCAGTTACCTCTTTAGTATTTTCCAAGCTTTCGAAAATGTTTATTTTCTTCTTCAGGGCTAAAATAGTACAAAAATTAACAGTTTATATAGCAAGGCACTATAAAAAGTTTTTTCTTACAATTACTGTGAAGTTAGTCCGTTCATAAAATTGAAAATCGATTTTATGACCCATTTTTTGTATCCAAACTAATATTAGAAGGTATTTTAGGAGCTAATCGACAACTTTAATGAATTCAAATATTGATTAATAATGAATGAAATAGAAATTGTGTAATGGCTAGTAGACTGAGGTGAATAAATTATTCTTATTACACATATATAAGTGGATACTAACAGTAAATTTCGAAAAGACTACATTAGTTTTTTGAATTTTGAAAATAACTACAAGTGTTCCCAAATGCATTGGGTTGGAATGTTACTGCATTCTACGTGCTGGATAGTTGAAGGAAGCCACGACAATGACCGTATTTCTCAATTTGGCTTTTCAAGTAGAGTGTTCCCAGATGTTTTTAAGGGCGTTTCTTAAAATGCATAACGTTGGCCGAAGTTTTATGACTAACGGAAAGAGAATGAATTTGTTTTTTTATGTATTCAGAATGGATTTTTCGGTGAATAGGATATCCGAATATGAGCCATTAATCAGAAGAACATATGAGATTTTATATATATATTGTTTAAATTATCTGTATCAGATTTTTTGTTAATACAATTTCCTGTCTTTTTAATATGAACCATTTCTAGGAAAAGGCGTTCGTTGTAATTTTCTAGAATTCTACTATAAAAGTGTGAATGTCGCGAAAACTACTGCACTTCGGTATTTGGAATCCTCCGATTCGTATCATACGAAAGATGTGACACCTGTTTGTGCTGTAAGATGAGTAAACAAAATACGCGTTGTCCCATCTGAATTTAGCGATTTTAAATGGGACAAAAAAATCGAAGGAGCTTTACGAACACCATGTATGATGAAAACTTGAGCTGATGCTATGTTCTGAAAAAGCATTTTTCATTGGTAATTTGAACAAATTTTCATTAGTTTTGGTTGACAAGCAGTGAAGAAAAAATGGAATAACTCGGAAACTATCAACTTTTGTTACATAATGCCAGTTTTCTACATGAGCGACATGAATTGCTGAAAACAGTTTAGATCGGTATAACGTAACGGCACCGGTTTCCGACTGGCCTCCTGAATCAGATCATTTTCGTTTTTTCAATTTGAAACATTAAAAGTTTCGACCAAAAGTTGTGAAATTTAACGTATTTATTTTATCTCTCATCATATGTCGCATATAGAAATTTTTCTTTAATATGTTAACGGAATGTCGGTCAATTCAACAAAACCTACGAGAGGGTTCGTTTTCATTTTTTTTTTAATTCAGTGGACCTACAGTTTAACAACGGTTCCGAACGGCCATTCGGCTTGTAATCAATGTACATTACCCAGCATATATCATTCATTAGACTACTTAAATCATAGACAAACACAAACACCCATGCCTTCAGCGAGGTTCGAACTCGAGTTCTACCGCACCATAGTCGGGTGTTCTACCGACTAAACTACGGACACCGGCTTATTCGTATTATATTGATCTGGAAAAATGCTATGACGAGTTTTGAGTTTATTTATCCCAAATACTTTTTATTGGTTGATTTAAAACTTAAAATTTTAACATGAACGGAAAAATTACATATTTTCATTGATTTCTCGAACAAATAATAATGAACGGAATGTGGAGCTTGGTCGGTAACGGGAGGTTTGGCACTTTGTAAATGATGTTAATTTTTTATTTCACGGATAGATTCAATCAATAGATTATTTGCAATTGGATTTTTAGTTTCCACTATTTCTCTTATTTCTAACGAAATTAGTTATAACAAAATTAGTTATAAGTATATCCCTCTCATATTAAATTTCAACATGTAATCAAAAATTCCATATTTTCATTGATTTATCGAGCAAATTATAATGGACGGAATGCGGAGCGCTATAAAATATGAACATTCCGATGACTTGGTCGGTTACTGGAACTTTGCACTTTGGAGATGATGTTAATTTTTTTTATTTTAGAGGTTTCTTTAAAGTGTTTTGTATTCAATTATGTATGAGACCGAAAATAACTTCAATAGATTCTTTGTAATTGGAGTGTCAAGTTCCACTATTTTTCTACTATAATTTCTAACAAATTCGAAATAAGACTCCTTTTGTTTGAAATTGATTTTTTTTGTTTATCACACATACTCAGGATATTGTAATACCTTTATGAATGTATATGAAGCGGAAACTTACTAAAAATACATATAAATTTCAATTTAGACGCTTTATTATACAAATATACGTTTGATCGGAATCAGGATACGATTCATTTTCCACGTTCGATTTTCCGTCTGCGATTATTTCAAAATATTTCGAAGTTGTGAATTGTATCCATTTGATGATGATGCTATACTTGGATCACCTCAAGTTTGTAGAGCAACTTTTTGATAACGAAAATTTTGTGAAAATGTCTTGATGACATTGGACTTATTATTAAGTGAAGTAGCAGCTCGTTTTCCTAAGGTTCTCAATCAGTTAGATACGAAAAAGTTGAAAATTATTCTTCCTTCAATCAGTATGTATTATAAATATAAATGTTATTTTCTTCAAGCAGTTTCAAAGAATTGACCTGGTGTAACATCGAGCGGAGAAAAACTGCTAAACTCATAAAAAATGTAATAAAAATATTAAAATAAATTAAACTCTTGGATTAATGTTTCACGATTTATTTAACAATATGTATAGTTAAAGTCTTGAAAATGAGCTAACGCTCGAAACATGTTGACTATACATATTATTAAATAAATCGTGAAACATTAAGCCAAGAGTTTAATTTATTTTAATATTCAATCATGTTTCACCAAGAGTTAAGCGAGAATTCAATCTCATTCATGTAATAAAAATGTTTATGATTCTTTTAATCTTCGATATCTATTCTCAATTTTACGTCGTGTGAGATATAGTATATAAGAATAAATGTTGTGATTTTTCTGGATATTTTGTTGCCCCTCACTGTCGATATAACTTTATCCTAATAAATATCTACCGAATTGTAATTTCGAATTGTAATATTTTTTATTCATTCAAACTGTATTTTGTTAATCATGAAGTTGATTTTAGTATTTGAGAATGGCTGGTCGGAATCAGGATCCTCAGAGGTCGGATATAGGGACAGTTATCACCCGGTCGGTAAATGGTGCTTTCGGTTTATTTCCATTCGTTACCGTTTGATATCAAATATATGAAGGATATAGTCGAAATGAGATAAAATTATGCATAATTATGGAAAAAAGAATATGAAATCTTTCAGAAAAGCCTTTATTTAAATAAATTTATGAGTAATATCAGCTTTGTTCGCGGTAAGGATTCTGAACCGATTCAGAAGTATTCGCATGCGCAGTTTGAATTTTGGCGTTCGCGGATCACCCAGTTCCGAACTTTTTATTAGAGTTCTGTGCTCGCGATTAAAGTGGGACTGGTTCGGAATCGATTCGGAATTGGTTCTACCGGTTCGAAGGATCAATCTAGAACTGTAAGTTCGGGAATTGCGCATTCACGTTAGTTTGGCAAATTTTGACTTTTGACTTTTTTGACTTGCGCATTCACGATAGTTTTGGTATCCGGCATATTATTCGATGAGATCAACCGTGATTTGAAAATTCTCTAAACTAGTTCTAAAATCGTTCGCGGGTCGAAATAATTCCGAACTAGTTCATAACCGAGCATGCGTATTAAATCAATCCCGAATCAGTTATGAATTAGTTCTGAATCGGTTCAGAATCCTTACCGCGAATAAAGCTATCATCACCTTTTGAAGGATTCTTACAATCATAACGGCAGTACGCAGGATTCGGTGCCATTGCGTTACTATAAACAGTCAACTAGGCTAACTCTAAGCTACGAGTACCAGATCTTCAGAGAGATCAATGGATCTTATACATACCAATATATATATATATATATATATATATATATATATATATATATATATATATATATATATATATATATATATATTCATTCGAGATGATAGAATTTATTGAAAACTCAAGATTGAACGATTATGATTTCATGAGAATCAATATTTACCGAGACATCTCTGATAATTTGTACAACAAATATCTAATGTTGTTGGCTTAGTTCAGATAATACAGTGACCTCATTGAAGAGAAAATTGAGTTTTCTTATTTCTCGAGTTAATTATATGACAAACCTTTACCGAAATAGTTTAAAAACAAGTAGGTAGATATTATCTTATCTTGTTATATCATTAAATAGATAATACCTGCATTGTAATCCGCACGGGTGCTCGACAACATGTTTTTGTGAAGTACTTGGGAAAGAAACATAGTTAATAAATATTCCTAGTCATCCGGATAGATAATGGTCGATTTGGGAAATTTCAAGCAAAATAACTATAATGGAGATATTGGTATAAAGTTTTACTTTCTAACTGTTATTCAAACCGTACATGGTCCGGTTTCATACTCACATCGATATTCATAAGATAAACTATACTACACACAAACGAATTGAGAACAAAAGACATGTTTCTGCACCATAGAACACGACTGCTTTATGAAACATAGTAAAAGTTTTTTTATTGATAGTACTTTCAAAATGTTTACGTTTATAAAGGATGATTCACAACGACGTTCTCAGAAAATTCTGATACTTGCTTGACTCGCCCAGATCTATTAATCTGAAATATTATCATCGTAGTGACGCCACTACTTATGTCGAAAAGTGGTAACATTTTGACATTTCACATGAGACTTCAAATATACATTGAATTGACAAGTTATCGACCTTTCCACAATGAATGCAGATAATTGGAAAATATCGGGTTTGCGGTCAGTGGACTAAATAAAATCCCTTGTTATATTCTTGGTATTTCACTATTGTTTAACAGCTGCATCAAAAGAATGCGATTTAGGATCAGTATTCTACATATTATATTCCATTTCATAATTAACGGTTAGTTTTTGTGTAAACCTATTATTATTTCAGCCTAATTTATTGTAGTTTTCAAAAATATGAAGTTAAATTAATCAAAATCCTGATATTAATATCCTCGATTTGAAGTCTTACAGCTTCACATTCAATCAAAGGGAAGTTTCATATATTCCAGACATTAAATATGGCAAGGAATGAGCTCCGCGCGGACTCTTCTCATCGTACCCACGGCAGCTGTTTCTACGATACCTTTTACGCCCAAGAAACATTTTTATGGTCCGAGATGTAGAACGCACTAGGTACTGAAGTTACCTGAAGAGATGTTCGGTAAATTCCGTTTCTCTGAAGTATTTCATTCGGTTTTTTGGAATTTTTTTCAGCGGATTATGTGAATAGTGTATTTGTCTTTGAAAACGTATATAGACTTTTCAGTTCATAGAGATTTTTTCTACGTTTTTCTCAAACTGGTAGCTGACAATTTAATGTATGTGGAATTTTTACATTTGTACCAAATACAGTATACAACGAATGCGTTAGCTATATTGTGATGGTGTGTCTGATGAGTTGAAATATCGTGATGTTAGCATAGTTGGAAGTTGTTAATGTATTTATTACTCAGTAATATGTTGAAATATAGAAAATTCAATCAATAACACAAAACATATAGAACATTGGAATGTTTCATATTTTTTTTATAATGATGTAATACGTACATGGAGCCACAGTAGTTGAAACAACGCAGTACAATCAACAAACAGTGATACCTACTTCTATGAATAATCAACTAACGAATAAACGAAATTAATTCTAAATCACATGAATTTTTCGAATTGCTTTTTAAAACATTATACCATATACATATTTATTTATAAAAGGAATAAGGGTTCGAAGGGGTAACCAAATTAGCTGAATTATCATATTCAATATATATCAACATCAATTGTTGAGGGATTTTCTCACGATGAAAAAATTGCAATTCTTAGCGGATAATGCTGAGTCACTATTTTCGTTTCAATATGATAATGAGCCAAACTTTTCATTATTCATTATTTCCTTACAGTTAAAATTCGTGCCAAATAAAACTTCTGACCGATTTACAATTTATAGGGAAACATTAATTATGAATTGTTTTTGAAATTTTCGACCTTCTTATGATGAAAAATGGAGATAGATGACTTACAAATACTCGACTACCAAAGAAATAAACAATGTATTCATATAAATGATAAATAAATGTTATTATTATAAATACATGTAGGTACTAAGTAATGTAGTACAAATATAAGTTCCAAAATATAATGACTTGCAGAATTAAAATAGTTTTTCTTATTGTAGGATGTTTAAAATTAGTAGTATCAAACACATGCTATATTGCGTACACCGTATTATCTGATAAGCAGCGCGCCGATTACATTGACATAATAAAACGGAAACATTGTAACACTGTTCCAATACCGTGAATATATTTTGACCCATATATATTTTTATGTAAATACGTAACTAGCAACCGTTTCCAGTTTGGCTGTACCTATTGCTAGTTTATATGAACGAAATTTACTAATTATTAGCCTCTGACACAGC